ATTAGTTCGCTTTTTGTCCTTTTCCTTATTTTTCATTGTTTTCCTTTTTGTTCTTTCAAATGTAGCCTCGAATCCAGCACTGTCTTGCTGCGTGACTCGCACTGCAACGCCTTGCGACCATGCAGTCTGTATACTGCGTCACCACATGACGTCGCGCAACTGCCTTCACTCCCTCACACATTCTCTGCGAAAGCACAATCCATGCGCAATGGGGCCTGTTCCCCCTTTTCACGCGCATCGCTAGGCCTCCTGCTGACCTCTGAAGTGCTCACTAGAGGCATCGCCATTGTTTTATTCTTATTGTATTGAGTTTATACACTTTATACATTGTCTGATGTTGCAACCCAAATGGCAAGGGGACACTGCTCAGAAATAGGATCATTTATGGACTACATAGTTGAGGCCGCCGAGGCCTGTCTCTAAAACGACAACAGGTCCAACGTGATTTCTGTAAGATGAACCGCATGAAAACAGGATTCTGCACATGTGCCAAACATGCAACGCGAGCACGTGATCAGTGCTCGTGTTGCTTTTTGCTCAAGTGATGGATCGGAGCAGTCCTGGCATCATGTCGAAAGTCAAAGAAACAAAGCACTGCAGAACACAAAATAGCGATGGCCTCCAACTTAGACACTTGCTGAAACAGTTGAGATTTTGATTAGCCGAAACCCATCAAAACTGGATAAGAATAAACAAACGCAACAAACTAGTACCATGCAACGAGCAATCCAGGCCCCAGCCCCAGATCTATTGTTAAAAACACACATAAAACGACGTTCACAGATCACCCCAAGAAATGCAAAACACACGTGGGCTGCGGTCGCATGCCTTGGCTGTGTGTAACCCGCTTTGAACACCGAACATAGAACACTCATAAAACCCCGGTGCCCTGTGAACGCTTTCATGACGCGTAAATGGTCCACAAGTTGCGATTGATCACCGCCTGGTGGCTACTTTCTTCTCGCCCTCATGGACAACTTGGACCTGGCTACTGCGAAACGAACCAGCGCATCCTGTGTACGGAACATTCGTGAACGCACCCTTACAATAGCGATGTGTTCTACAACAAACTTTCTTGTGAAAGGAGGTAAACAATCGTCTCCAAATAATTATCACGCAAACGCAAAGCTTACCAAAACTTCCCAAGCGTAGCCTTGCCTCTGCATTCACCAAACTTTGCCCGGACTCTCGACTCCTTGGACTTAGCCAATTTCGGAAAAAGAGGAAACAACAAACAACATAAACCCGCAGGCCCGAATGCAAAACAATATTGTGGAACACTCTTGCTTGACAATCTTTTGGGTCACTCTTGCTTGACATTCTTAAGGAAGCTCTTTTGTAGGACAGTTTCGGGCGACACTCTTGCGGTCACTCTTGCTTGGCGCACCTTTGCGAGATGCTGGGACGCTATTCTTGTGGGACTAATGCTTTTGTGCGGGGCATGACACCCCACGGCTCCCAGAAGCGACTCCTTCCAAAGCGGCAGGAGAGTTCGAGACTTGCTCCAACCATCTTGTGTCAAGTAGGCAAATATCCGTCCAAAACGAGTATTCGAACACCACATCCTCGAAAAGCCATGTTCCAAACATCCAAGCCAAGTACTTTGATGCATTTTGTATCGCGCAGCCTCCATGAGAGCGTCCAGTCTCGTCCGAGGCTTCCAAAGCATGCTCACAATCCTCCAACAGCCCGCTGACCTCTTTGCAATGACCTCTACGGTGTCCCCTCACGGTCCCCCACAAAAGACTTCGGCGCCTTCTCGTCACCCACATCACTCAAAACAGCAATTTTAGCACTTGTGAAGATGCAGCTTGGCCCGCGAGGATGTAGATCAGTGGACAACAAGGGCACGATGCTTGTAGGAACGGCCGACGAAACCGCTACGCTCTCGATTGGTGACTTTCGTGGGAGCTGTTGTCGTCTAACGATGTGAAGGAGAATGGAGAGGAAAACGAAGTCGAGGAAACGAAGCGCTCAAAGCTCACACGTGCGCAATTAGAAACTGCCGAGCACCATGTCAGTGGTATGACACTGCATCAAATTCATGTAGGAGGCTTTGTTCATTGCGTGCCCTCTGGATCTGTATTTATTCTCAAGCAGGAAGAACAATGGAAGAACAACTGTGGTTGACCCACGTTTCCAGAAATTCATGGTGAATGATATGCGGCGCGCCGTACATGGAGTGCTGGGTTTGCATGTTTATGTGAGGTCAGGCCAAGGAATCTACAGGGTTGATGAGGTCATGAGAATGAGGATCAATACAAACCGGTGAAATTCGATGGAGGTTCAATGAAATTTGGAAGCTGGGAAGTGCGCTGAAGGAGTACATGACGAAGATCAACTGTCGATAAAACAAAAAAATGCCTCGCCCTCGGCGCACGACTACATGGACCACTACTTTTCTGATCAAAGACTGCTTTTGAACTGTTGAGAGACTCTACCTGAGAAGAGGCAAGCAACCGCTGAAAAAAATGTAAAGAATGGGCGCCCCTAGGGGTGGTTTCCATATATGTTCTCTAGCTCTCAATCTCGCTATCTCTCTACCTCTCTCTCCGATTTTATCCAGCCGCCCATCCGCCCACCCATTGTACGTACTAGCCATCCATTAATCTGTCTGCACCATACACGCGTCCATCTCATGCATCTCACATCTACTTATCATCCCTTTACATCCCGCCACATCTCTCTGCGTCTCTGTCTCCCTATCTCTTCAGCTGGTCTCTCTGTATCGCTATCTCGACACTCTCTCCCCTTATCCCCTTATCCCTCCATCCATCTACCCACACATCCAACCAGCCATCGACCTACCTACAAGTGCTCTCAAACCTGCGCATCCTCGACATTACCACGACCCCAAAACTACAACTGTTTGAAACTCTCCGCCAGCCTTTCCCCTCTGCTAACACAAACTTTCGAAAGGGGGTAGCCCACAGGCGCCATGGAATCTGGCGTGGGGATAGCATCGTTTCTAGTTCCTCTTGAATACATCTCTGAACTGATTGTTTGACTTCGCAATTTCAATTTCCTGTCGTTCCCTTTCAAGAACAATTCAAGGAATTCCTTTCATGTCATTTCATTTCCTTTTGGATCCCTTCACTGAAGACCATCCCTCAATTATTCATTACACTACAAGATGCATCAAAATCACGCTGTACTTCCAATCCTGGTAAACTATTTTCTTCGCACTTGGCTTGAGGTAGTTTCCCCATCTATAGTCAAGACTTTCTCATATAGAAAATATTCGACAATCTTTGGCAAAACAATTGCAACAGTCTTGAAGACTGTCTTGAACTTGCTGACCACTCATGGCAAGTATGTGTCACTACTTCTTTGAGCCTCAGCTCCTAAGCTAGTCACTCCCATGCTGCTTTTCCGGGCATGAAGCTTGCTGCTTCCGGCCTCCGATAAACTGATGTTCCAGAAGAAGCAACTTGCCTAGCAGCAATGGCCTCCACCTACTAGCGATGGCCTCCACCCTAGTAGCGATGGCCTCCAACCTGCTAGAAGCAACCTAGAGGAAGCTATTTTCAACTTGGCCCCATGCATCAACTCAACAGCCCAACCAGGCGATATCCATTGAAGAGCCTCGTTGGGTATGTATGACTTGCTCAGCGCTCTTGGCTTTGTCTTCTGGGCGCTTCTTTGCGTCGCTTCCTTTCCTTCCATCGCAAGAGTTAGTCGCAACGCGAGCCACCGAAAACAAAGCTCCACACAAATACAAGTGGCTTTCTTGATGCGCAACCTGCATCCAGCAAATACAAAAGGATGCACAATGTTTTAGCACTTGGGAATCAAACTGAATTAAACAGGTGGCCGTCAATCGGCCACCTAATCTTCACTAAATGAAATATTATCAGACCCGTGCGGGAGAGCGGAGACTGACGACACGTGCCATATGGTTCCCCCATTCTTCAGCGTTCACCTCTACGATGTTCCTTCGTAAAGCCGAAGGCCTGGCAACATGGAACACGTCATAACATGGAACAAACAACTGCAAGTTATTCCCAAGGAGGCTTTAGTCATTACTAGAAAGCTTCAAAGACATAGTAAAAGGCTTCGTTACTACAGGTGAAACGATTCCCAGTGAAACGATTCCCAAGGAGTAGCAATGCCCTTGCTACTAGTAGCGATGCCCTTGTTACTAGTAACTTCTTGTTCCTAGTAATGCCAGGAGCTACTAGTAGCATTCTAGCTATCTACAAAATGCACATGCTTGGAATGGCTTATGCATATTTGGCGTGCAACTGCCCAATTCAACATGAGCTTTTTGCAAACGCGTTCCTGCCGAAGTCTTGACGCATAACCAACCATGCCATACATATTCATGCACCAGCCAATGAGTCGAGAGGGTGGCTCGAACGGCTTAGCATTAGCCGCCAATCCAAAATAAGCAGCATCAAGACCGGTACAACAGCACAAAGGCTTTGCATGCCTTTGCCATCTCCTGTCCATTTAAAACGTTCGTCTCCTACGTCATAGCCCAAGTTTTGTGTCTTGAAGCATTTTGCTAGAAGCAAACGAAACCTAATAGGAATGGCCTCCAACCTACTAGTTACTAGTCTCCTAGGTCATAGCCAAAGCTTTTGTGAAGTCTGGCTAAGATGTTCAAAAGGGTTGGCTCAAAAAGGTAGCCTAGCACGAAGAGTTTGCATACGAAAGACTGTTTGCTTCTCCATTATTGAAAGCCACCGTTCGAGCAACCACCGCCAGATGTGGAATCATCTGTGTCGGGTCAGTTGGCTGAATTCTAGCTTCATCTTCAAGCCACCAAATTCTTTTTGAGGCTGCTCAGCTGCTGCTGCAACAGAAAGCAAGGTCCGCAAATGGCCGGCCCGGATGACAAACATATCCTAGACCTGTACACTAGTTGATATCGAAATCATCTTTGCCAAAACCGCCAGCACTTTGACTGGAGCAATGATTCCATGTTCCGGAGGCCATACAAAGTATGGCGAGCGTGCGCACACGGAAGAATTGGTGCCACAACTTTGAACACCCGTCTTGCTTAGTGCTTAGCTGATGTGACAGAATGGCCTCCGGCACAAAGGGCATGCCGGCTCTGGCCGCTGTTCCATCCAGGGTCCCAAGCAAGCTCTGCACAATACACGGTGATTGCAAGGCTTCAAAGAAAAAATCGCTTCTTCAGAAAGACAAATTGCACACAGATCTGGCTGACGTTCATTCAAAAACCCATAAGGTTCCTCGTGTAGCTCTGCCCTGGGAATTTCTGCAAGCGGCGATCCGCTGCTACCGAGCCAGGAATTGAAGTCATCTAAGCAACAAATTTTCACGCGACTGGTCAGGTGTGAAACATTGCGGGTAGCTTCTACCAACATGGGACATGAAGCTCTCCAACACCAAATCTCCACATTCCAGCCTCGTCTGGCAACGTTCTCCACAGTGTCAACAAGCTGATCATCATCTATACAAAATGCAAAGACCTCTCTGTTTGGATCCGCCCGCCACCTCTCAAGGTTTTTAAGGTGCTGCAGGACACATTGAGCCACTGAGCTCCACTCTACCCAGAAACCACACGAATTCCAGATCTCCCAAAGGGACTCGTCAGTTCTCAAGTTGCCAACTATGCGCAGGTTCACCTTTCTGGCACCAGCCACAATACTGGACAGTTTCAGTATACCGTCTCTCTGGTCACAATCACCGGTCAAAGTCAATCCTGCCATATTGGAGTTGACAAGAATGTTGGCACTGAGCTCGGTCTCCTAGCAACAAGGAAGGACATCTTGAAGTATCAAGCCAATATGCATATACATATGTATATATGTGGACATATGGCTCCCCCCGCCCCAAAACCTAAAAACCTCTAAATGTTTCACTGTAATTTACACATCCTTAGAGCTCTATGTTGCTACTGAGGCATCAAATAATTTAGCCTTTTTGGCCAAACCAAACACCGATGAGGTTTTCAATATAATTTTGGAGGAGTGCTGGATGCATGGGCGCAAGCAATGAAAACTGCACACTAACGCTGTAAGAAATATCACTAAAGCTACCAAATTGGATGCACCTGATGCAAAAACAGCACATCACAGGCAACATACGCACTTTGGTAAAGGGCAGCACATACCCAGCCCTTTTGATGACCTGTTGACAGCAATACAAAACGACTTCTTACCATGTCATAGAGTCTATTTTTGGCCACAATAGTTTTTCATGGGCTAAGGTCACCAAGTGTCAAGCTTATCGTGAGGTAACGCACACCAGGTATGCAATTTCTATATCATATCCCTCGCAATGTAGCTTCTCTCTTGAACAAATTTATGGCGTATCAACTTGTTTGAGAGAGGCGAGAGATCTCTTCAGTAGTGTAGCCTTTAATACCTCTCAACCCTGCTGTTTTGTTTCGTCGATAGTGCTGGGTCAGTACGAACAAACAGTACTAGATCCTTCACCACAAAACTCAATGGTATATCTGTCTTTGTATTGCAAAATCCCTCTGAATCGCGTGGACTCTTGGCACGAGGTTTTTGAAGTTAGTGTCATGTGATACCATCATTAGAGTTCAGATTGCTCTGCCGAACTCATACTGATCATAATGAAGAATAATACTTACCGGCACACAATAATCCAGAACACATTTAGTAGATGAACAAAATAGAAAAGATGCTTCTTTCTCACTATCTGTGGTTTACCGACAGTGCTAAAAAACTCCTGGCACTGCGATCTCAGATATTTGTTTGCTAAAGAAGATTGATCCTTCCTTGGTACTTGATGTTGCATGTTTACAATTACAATGTAATCTGGATCCAAGGACCGAAGCCATTAGAAGAGAAAGAGGTGCCAAAAGACACATGTGGGTTAGTAGTACATATCGTTGTTGTCTGTAATAAATTTTGAACACCTACAACATGCGAAAACGATATATATATCTAATCATGTGTATCATATAATATATATCCCCTGTAAAATTCACACGACAACCCCTGGGGGGCATTTTGTACCTACAAATGCGGCACCCCAAGTCCAAACCAACCAATCCATCTATAAAAACAGGCCCCCCCAAGATAGAAACCTTAAGTCTATAACATTGGGTTGGGGGTTGGCCATAGTGGGCTCACAGAAACTTGCTAAGAAAAGTGCGCTCCCGAAAATCAACCCCTCCAAGACACACAAAGAGTCCAACAAATGCCATGCGTCATCCCAAGCATTTCCCGATGTGTTTCCCGATGCGAGTTCCGATGCACTTCCCGATGCGCCCACCTTTTCCTGACAGAATCTGACTCTCACTGATTCTGAATCCCCACGGACCTGATCACAACATGGTTTGATTTCCAAAATGGTTTGGTGCTGGAGTTGAATGTCAAAACAGTTTGGCGCCTGAGATCATGAGAAAAGAAGCCTTTGTACGTGAGGACCGCAAACCTAAGGATCGATAAAACAAAAGCACTTCCACAAAATGCTTCAACACCCTGAGCAGATGGTTTGGGAGTTAGGGAGAAGCATGGCTCCTGAATATGCCCAAGGATTCGGAGTTTTTGATTTTCTCAAAGCCATCACCCTTACCACTCTTCCAAAATGGGACCCTCCAGGGGCCCTGAATTTTGTAGAGATTGACTGGGCGGTGGGGGGGAAGGGTGATATTGGGTGTCAAAACTTGGGTGTCAAACCGTTTTGGACTTTGAAACTCCATCAGAAAGCTGGTTTGGAGTCAAGACATTTAACTACTGGTTTTGACAAATTCAAAAAGTTAAACAACCATGTGGCCATATTCAGGAATCACCCTTCCCCCCCACCGCCCAGTCAATCTCTACAAAATTCAGGGCCCCTGGAGGGTTTGGTTTTAGAAGAGTGGTAGGGGTGATGGTTTTGAGAAAATCCAAACAAATAAACCCTGTGCTGGAGTTCAACAGCAAAAAGTTAAAACACTAGCTACTTTGAGGTTCGCTACGTTGACCCTGATTCCTTTGCCTGATTCCATGCTCGTGTATTCCTACCCAAGCTTCATGGCTGATGACCTAGGAACACCTTTTAACGATTGAAAAGAAAACCTTGAGTTTCCACTGCGAACTAATGACTGGGACGACTTGCATCGCGCAGCCATTGTTTTGTAGTGGAAACTCAAAATGATTTAGAAATAGTTTGAGGTGGGTCCTCATTTACTCAAAATTAATTCTATCTAAACAATATTGTACAGGTGGGTGGTCCTAGACTCAAACTTACTTAGAAGTAATATCTATCATATGAAAATTATTTTGCACCACCTAGACGGTTTTAGTGAAAATTAATGAACATTATTTGCGTACCACCCCCTACATGGCTTGCCAAATAATTCTTTTGGTTAATTATTTGGAAACATATTTAACTAAGAGACTCCCACCTCCAAAAAATTCTTAGTGATTGATGTATTGCTTTCTCTACAAAATGGTTTCTGTCTCTCTACGAAATTATGGTGGGCGGGTGCACACCCTTGTGTCAGCAGGAAGATGCTTAAACAACCATCTCTACAAAATGGGTTCTAACCCTCTACAACATTATGGTGGGTGAGTGCACATGCTCGAGTCAACGGAAAGATATGTAAAAAAATCGTTTCTATAAAATGGACCGTGCCTTGCAAATCATGTTTTGTTTTGTGCTAACATGCTCAAAATCTACCCTGATCACTCTACAAATCAGGAACACCCAGGACAGTGATTCTGCAGAAAACCACTGTTTTCTCTACAAAATGGTTGTTTCCAACACATGGGTTGACCACATTTGTAGAGGAAATTCCACAGGCGATATATAAATATATCATCACCAAATCACTGTAGCCGTACAACTCTCCTCTTGCAGCTCTTGCCCAAGGCCTGGCCTGGACAGCAACACGATGTGACAGGTGAGCATCGACACAAACCCATCATTGAAAGGTGACTTGTGACGATGCTTTGGTTTTCAACTCTCATCGCAAGTCAAAGTGTTGTCAGCCAGCTCCTGCTTTCAGCTTCTGTGCTTCCCGCTTGCCATGCAGTACTGTTATCGATGAAGACGTTGACCGCATGGCAATCTTCATCAGGCAGGTCCTGAGATGGCGCGAAGTTTCGAAACGGACATTTTAACGGGGATCTCGTCCGCTTCGACTGGCAGATGATGCAGGAAACACGTATTGATAGGAATTTACCGCGGGGCACCCTGCAGTTTTGTATGCTTTGGCCATGCGGCCATGCGTCTGCCGCATCTGCCAGCTTTGTACAGGCGCCGCTGAATATCCGCTGGCATTATGGAATGGTTCAAGACAGGAAGCCCTCGTTGCCCCCGTTTTAGAATGGGAAGCTCTCATGTCCTGTGCAGGGTTGGATAGGTTAGGCAGGGGAGGTATGGTAAATAGATTTGCGCAGCTAGCTGCCGTTGCGTTACACACTTCAGGGTCCAAGCGTGCAAAAGGAGTGTCACTCAATGGCTTGATGGCAGTGCGTTGGACATACAACGTGCAGATTTCGCGGCGGGGTTGGGGGCACGCAAAAGTTATTGAGCTTGCGACCCTTTCTTGCGCCTCCTTGCATGCTGCTTTGTGTTTGTGCCTTGTTTCGTTGCTTCCGCGCTTCCTTCTTTGCTTTTGTTTTACAGAAAAACCAATAACAAAAAGGAAACAAGAAAAGAAGCGAAGGAAGGAAGCGTAGAAGCAAAACAGAAAGCAATGAAGACGAGCAACACATAGAATCGTGGAGAAGCAGAAAAGCACAACGCGGTAAAGCAAAGAAGCAAAGGGACCCCGAAAAAGATGGACACTGTCCCTCCCTGATGTGTGTCCCACCAAGAATCTGGGCGTTCTCCGCGGGAAAATAGCCACGCTGTCTCGGTGATTGCCTCCCTCAGGCATTGCAGCTCGCCCTCCAATTCGCTTTTTGAATCGACTTAGGTTAGAGGCCATCACTTCTAGGATGAAGGCCATCGCTATTAGGTTGGAGGCCATCGCTGTTAGATTAGAGGCCATCGCTTCTAGGATGGAGGCCATCGCTGCCATCGCTTTAGGTTGGAGGCCATCGCTATTAGGTTGGAAGCCGTTGCTGTTAGGTTGGAGGCCAATGCAATTTAGGTTGGAGGCCATCGCTATTAGATTGGAGGTCATCGCTTCTAGGGTGGAGACCATCGCTATTAGGTTGGAGGCTATTGCTATTAGGTTGGAGGCCATCGCTATTAGGTTGGAGGCCATCACTATTAGGTTGGAGGCCATTGCTATTAGGTTGGAGGCCATCGCTACTAGGTCGGAGGCCATCGCTCCTAGGTCGGAGGCCATCGCTGTTAGGTTGGAGGCCATTGCTGTTAGGTTGGAGGCCATCGCTGTTAGGTTGGAGGCCATCTATATTAGGTTGGAGGCCATCGAAATCAGGTTGGAGGCCATCGCTATTAGGTTGGAGGCCATGGCTATTAGGTTGGAGGCCATCGCTATTAGGTTGGAGGCCATCGCTATTGGGTTGGAGGCCATTGAAATTTAGGTTGGAGGCCATTGCTATTAGGTTGGCATTTGAACTTTAGGTTGGAGGCCATGCTACTAGGTTTCTTTTGCTATTACAGTAGGTTGGAGGCCCTCAGGCATTGCAGCTCGTCACAATTGCATTTTGAATCGACTTCTGGCAACATGTCAGCAGTCCTCTGAGAGCCGAATGTCGTGGTGGTCGTGGCAGTGGCAGTACATTTCGACATGCTCTTGATTGACCCTGAAATGGCACTGCGTCATGGAGGGGATCTGCAGCTGGCCAACCTCCGCCAAGTAGGAAAGCAACTCTCGCCGTCGAGCGAGCCTTAGATTCTCACCCATCAAAACGCCAAAGAAACCTCGTCATAGCGTGCGTTGGATAGACCGACCCAACCTGAGAGCCATGGAGCCTCAAAGATTGAATTTAGCTAGGAGCAAGGATGCTACTAGGGGCTCCTGGCCTTACTAGGTTCTTTCCAAATCGTTATGCACCAAGGAGCTCGGTGCTCACCTTCACTCTGCAAAGGATGATTTCACGCTGCTCCCGCTCAGCTCTTCGGTCTTGAGACCCTTGAGACCCTTCCGCTTTTTCCATGACTGAAAGCGCCGTACTGAGGGCGTATTAGAACAACCATTTCGAGCCAAACTGAGAGCTGTGCTGGTTTTGGGCGTGTGAAAAGGGAACACCAAAGAAATCAAATCTCAAAACAAATCCAAACGAATTGCACTCACAAGGGCATCTCTTCACGCAACTCAAAGTGGACACCTGAACAACCGGTAGCTCCCGAAGGTCTTGCTTCACCTGCGCAAACGCCCGCGGAAAGAGCCCTGCTGACAGGTACCGGATGTACACTGAAGTGTGAGATGCTCAAGCCATGTGTGCAGGTACAAGCACGTTTGACGCTGGGCAATTAACCAGTGAGTTAATGTGTCTTGCCGAATTTAACAGTTTCAACGCAAAGCTCTGTTTGAGTATCACTAGTGAGAAGCGCAAATCTGTCAGTTCGTCGTTGCCTGGCACACTTAAGAGATGTTCAAAGACATTCTTCCGAATTGCGCTTAATTATCGTGCGAAGGGTGGGCTTTGCCAGGCTGCGCCCAAAGCCAGAAAAGCAACTGAGCTTTTGTTGGAAAGTAAAGCTCCGAACAAAAGCATCTGCCCTGTTTAGAAAGTCGCCAAACTGGAGCAAGCATCGGCCGGGAAGTTGCCAACTCCTTGGACGGAAAGGACGCAATCAAACCTAAGCCGTTAAGGCACTGCCCGATGGATCTGCAAACTGCCATTGGACAGTTTGCCAGGGACAGCTGCTGCATGCCGCCTGTGCTGCCTGTGCTGCCTGTGCTGCCTGCTTCAACGCATGGCCTGGCTCCTCGACTCGCGCCAAGCGTTCTCGGCCGTCCAAGCACGAGCAACATCCTTCCAGACTTCGGTATGGACTTCGAAATAGATCGTCTTGGGAAAACTTTGGGAATCGGGTCCTTTTGGGAACAAGTCTTGGAGGGCTTCAAGGGCCATGCTCTATGTGAGTGGCGCTCGCTATTCATTACGAAACTCAAATACACTATCTATTCTGCAGGCGGCTCTATCTACTTTAGTAAACTATGAATAAACAATGATCAAAACGTTAGTATGAACAAATGGAATAGCTGGAAAGATATCGTGTTAATGTTTTGGTATCGCTTTCCAAGGAAAATCACACATTCTATCATTCCATCCCTAGAAACAACAGCAGCCTGTGCCAATGTCGCTGTCAGCTTCATTTAGCTTCATTCATCTGAGCCAGGGTCTTGCCAGGCATATTTTCGTAGGTTTTGGTATCGTTTTTGTTATCGTTTTGGTATATTTTGGTATCATTTCTTTTTGCTTCGTTCCAACATATCATTTCTTATAACACACCACACTTAGAATGAAACGGTGAAAAGCAAACACATCGACAGGATATCTCCCGTCGATATCACAAGCAAAATATCAGTGTCTTCGTTGGCACCTGCCCTATCTCTGCTGCAGGTGCCCCTTGCTACGAGTGAAGGGGAGTGCCACACGTATGCAAATAATTCGAGTGGAGTCTCAAAGAGCGGGACACACACACACGTATATACTTGTCCTTTCCGACGAGCGCACAAACAAGGTGAACCCAAACAAGGTGCACCAAACTTGCACATTGCTTGCGCACATAGAGCACTGAAACAGGTATCGTTTTTTGTGTGTTTGGTATCGTTTTCCATGGTTTCTTCAACAATCTCTGAACATATTCCACATCTCTACATACTGCTGAGGTGAAACCTTTCGATAGTTGCTCACGTCGTGATGACTCAGGTAGCAGTAGGGTATACCGGTATACCTGATGCACGTTTCTTGCCAATCTTGCCAAGACTGTTTTCTTGTCTTGTCGATCGAACACTGGGCAAATCAACTAGCAATAACTTTTTGAGCTCTGCTCTGCTCTTGTTTTGCTCTGCTTTCTGTAGAACAAAAGCAAGCTGAAGCCAACGAATGATTCTCTGAAGGAATCCGAAGGACCAACAGCACGAATACACTCGTAAAATTCGTAAGGCCTCGGTCTTGACACTTCTTTGACCACTTCTGATTTGTGCTACTTGGGAAGGCCTTCTCTTTCACCTCCAAAGTCTACAGGTCTCATGTTTTCTTCTACTCTTTTCAACGTTCTTTGCCTTTACTCTTCCATTCTGGGTGGACTTGACGGTGCGGACGACCGGACTGCATGGAAAGTGTCACAAAATGTCGAGAGAATGAGCATTGCAAGATGGCATCACACACAAAAGGCAGCCGGTTGGGCCCAACCCCAGTGTAGGCCCCTCTCTTCCTCAGGGGTGCTGATTGGGCCATGGAAGCGACAAGTTGGCTTCTACAGCCGTAGAGCGCAGCCCCTAGTAGCGTCCTTGCTCCTAGTAGCGATGCCCTTGTTACTAGTAGCTTCTTGCTCCTAGTAGTAAGGCCAGGAGCCCCTAGTTGCTTCTTGCTGCTAGTAGCGATGCCTCGTTACTAGTTTTTGATGTTCTTCGCTGAATCCCCTCGCCGCCTTTAGAGCGGCGAGGGGAGCTCCTTGAAGAAGCGTGAGCTATCCTGCGCTAGGAGCGAACTTCTCCATAGTAGCGAACTAGTCGCCCTCAGTAGGAGCGGTTCGCTAAAAAAGGAGCTTTGATGTTGCCTCATCACCTTCGCAGTTTGCGCTTTGCTATGGGATCTGGTGGACTTGACCATGACTGACCCTGTCATTGCATGAATGGCCGAACCTGTCTTTGAACAATTCCGTGGAACATGTCCCCGGGCACGCAGTTTGCTGATCGCTCTTTGATGTTTCCAGTTTTGCTCTCGGCTAGACATGGCTAGGCCTGGATTCACCGTAAGCGGGTGTCTGTTTTCAAACGTTCCAAGCCACTTACAAACAGAACTGTGCAAGTGTAACGTAGTTTGAATTTCATTCATTCGTTAGGTTCATGTTCGACTGTCGCTAGACTGCTATGCCCCTTCCCCGCCACCTGTGCTACAGGGGCCTCCCTTCCGCTCGTGGTCTGAACAGTGTAAGTTGGGGGTCTTGTGCATAACAGGCAAACAGTGATTGCAGTGACTTCAGTCTGGCTGCCTCGAGCTTGGGCCGCCATGGCACTTCCCTTAATTAGCCACGCTGTAGCCAAGATCACCCAGCCTGTCAAGGTGTTTTTTTGTCAGCAGCTTTAAATAAGCTTATCAAAGGTGTCAACAAATGAACAGCATATGAACATATTGATAGACATCACTTGCCTCGTTTCTGTCGCTTCACTCTCATCGCAGCATGACAGGGCATCTACGAATCACTAGTGTAAGGAGGAGTAGTCACAGCAACTGCATCATCTAAGCAAGAGTGAACGAGCTGTGCACATCAAATTCAATCAACCAAAAACCATGCTAAACTTTGATGCCATTTCAAGTGTTCAACATGACATTTCAAGAGAATCTTTCTTGGTTGGAGTGAGAGATGGAACAAAAACAATGTCCAACACCAATTCATAGCATCGAAAGAGAACCAATAGCTAAACCATGCAAAGGGCGGCTGCGTTGCATATGGCAAACATGTTGCATTGCACAGGTTATGCTACAGTGTTAAATGCAATTTGCCATGCTGACGAAGGTGTTGTGCCACAGCATTTTTGAGCGGGGGAAACTGCACTGGGCATAGCGTATCTCAGCTCTTTCGATAGAAATCCAAAAAATCCAAGACTTGCTTCATGGAGCAATGAACTGAGTTGTTTCACCTGAAAAACGCGGGAAAAAGTGAGCTCGGGAGTCTTGGTCAGGCCAAATGGCTGATTGTACATATCATATCCATCTTTGGACTTTGCACAAATGCTCATGAATACGTAACTGGTCAAAGGTTTCCATATATGGAAGTAACATAATTGAGCGCTACACACGTTCTCTTCAACAAATGGCATCCTTAGCGTTCTGGCTTCCACCACAATAATTTGCTTTTTAGTTGATTATCTTGAGTGAATATTCATTTGTCTTCTGATTGGATCCCAAAGTCCTGCAAAGGTAAACAAATGAAACAAACATAGCAAGAGGCATTGTCAAAGTAAATGTGCAAACACGAAAGCCACAACGTACTGAACAGGAACGGATCTGCACTTGTCATCACCAAAGATCTGCTGCCGCAATGGTTGCTGCAAACCCTGAGGTCGAGTCAAAAATGCACAATTTACATCAACAAAATTGTTTCTAATAGCTTCTTGTTCCTAGTAGTAGGGCCAGGAGCCCCTGGTAGCGTCCTTGCTCCTAGTAGCGATGCCAACAGTCTGGAATGGCCGTGAACAACGTCTTTGCATGGAGTGTGACAATGCGCGACTATGCTCCCTATACTATCTGCAGTCATGAACCCAAAGTGAAGACACATCAACTGCGTACGCAACAACCGGTGAGTGTCTAACAACAAGGAAAGACAGAACAATGCTAACAGCACACGAACAAGGAACAAACATAGCGCGGTGCAAAGCCCAACGAAAAAAAGCGATCACAGGTGTGCGAATGAATGAAGCCACCGCGAAACAATATACGATTGTGATCGCAGAACGTTCGAAGAATGGATTGAGTTGATTTTGGATTCACAACAGACATGGGTTTCTGAACCAAGCACAACACGAACCCCTGCAAAAACAAAAGAAACAAAGCCGTGCTGATGTTGGACATAGCTGCATCAGCATCGAGATAAGAAAACAAGACATGGATACAACTGAGCACAGCCTAATATCCTTGTGAACATCAGCGGCGACAGTGCGCGGACAATCTCAACAAGAAACTGGCCTGGAGACGTACAAAACAACTCACCCTTCGCTTGCAAGAGCTACCTAAGAAAGACACTTTAACCAAAGCTCGACCACAATGTCCTAGACCTAAAAGCATCTGCAGCGCTCAAGACTTTTCATAGCACGTCAACGTTCGACCCCGCCCTCGCTTGAACAAAGGATGGCAAACATGGAAAATGAACATCAGGCCCCACGAGCGTTAACGCCAACATGGTGTGATGCTTCAGAATTGCACTGGTCTGGTGTGGTCTAATGAGCCGTCAGGCCCGGGTTCGAGCCCCCCAGTGCAACACTAGACGGACAGGGAGTAAGCGTTGGCCATCGTAAATTGCGACATGACTGTCTCAAGCCCGCCACATCGACCTCCACTCTTCTCAGCAGAGAAAGTGGCGCTGAGCCGGTGGATTGCTTTTCAACGGCTTTTGGCATCAGATGCAGGCTGTGTTGAAGGCCCTGTCAAGCGGCGCCGCTTCGGCGGCTAGTCCTCGGGCGATAGGACTTACCAAGTGCGTGCTCTGTTTCCACCTTGACTCTTGTTCTTGGGAGCATTTGCCCATTCACTGTTGGCGTAGGTGTTGAAGAGAAAGGTCAATGGGGACCTTGAAACAAATTGGCCGTCGCTGCCGCTTTAGTGCACTAAGAACCTTGGAGATCATTCACCGTGAGCTCAGAAGTGTTTTGCGCAGAAGGGAAACATGGTTTCATACTCATGTCACTCGGGGGCCCGAGGATTGTGTGGATGTATCGCTGCCGTCAACGACCCGCACTTCAGCTGCGTCTGACACTTACACCTGTGCTCCAGGAGCGCCTTGAGCGTCTGACTGGGGCAAAGCGCTGGCAAACGATGACGAAGTGGAAGTGGTCTTCTTGATCCTGGTCGCAAGGATCTCCTTCATCTGGTACTTGTCGCCAGCTGCCAACAACAATTTGGAAGTGGAACGCTCGCCCAGCTTGTGTCCGTCCAACAACTTAATGATGCGGGCCGCGGGCCTCCTCTGGATATGGTGGCGTTCGGCCATCAGAAAGGCGACGCTCCAGCAAACGAAAGTGTCGAACAAAGGAACTGAATGGACGCACTCTACAAGCGACCCATCATATTCATATTCAGGTCCTGCAACACGCCAGAGGACTCTTCAAGGTCCTTCACGATCGTCTGAGACCTCTTCAAACTCTTGCTCAGCCTTGACTTTCCACTGCTCACGGGCTTGAAGGGCTTGTTCGCTGGGCGGAAGAAATTCGCTCGTACTTCGAATCCATTGAAGCAATCCCTTCCTATAATGCCACAAACAATGTGAGCCAGCGTCAAGACAGGTTGGGGTACTCATAGGTAGATTAGGGCGCCCCCTATCGGCCCTATCGTTTGTCCGCAAATATAGTCAGAATGGTATTTCCAATGTGGACACAAACGGGATCCTTGATCCTAAAAGCATTTGAACTTACGAGCCGTTGGTCAGCAACGACGGGTGGGTAGCAGCAGTAGCAGCAGCAGACCACCAGTAGACCAGCATAGACCACCAGCACTAGCACACCAAGAGGGGCAGCAAGCCAGCAGCAGGAACACCGGCAAGAGCAACAAGCGGAAGCAAGCAGCAGCAAAAGCAGCCAGCCAGCACAGCAACAGCACCAGCAGCAGCACCAGCAGCAGCAGCAGCAGCAGAAGCAGCAGCAGCAGCAGCAGCAGAAGCAGCAGCAGCAGCAGAAGCAGCAGCAGCAGCAGCAGCAGAAGCAG